ACTAATGTAAATGGTAGCCCAGTCATTTTATGGGGAGAGCTGTGGAATGCTTACAAGAATGTAGAACTGACTTAAATGTTTTAAAAAGTCTACAGTTCCATTGTTGCTGAATTAAATATGGTTTCAGGCTCTGGAAACACAGGAATGCCAGATAACTCAATCCTCCTAAAAGAAAGCAATCAGGATGATTAAGACTCAAAATCCATATTTCCTCAGGAATAAAGGAAATGGAAAATAGCATATTTAATTTAGAGAAGACTTATGATAAACAAGACAGTGGTTCAGAAAAAAAGAGAAAGATTTATTATGTATATTTCTAAACAGCAGGGTGGATAGTGGTTTCAGAATAATAGAATTCCCATCCTGTAAAGTGAGCATACGGAAACTAACAAATCAGGAATACTATAAAAGGAAATTATTCTTCCTTTGGGTGCATGTCAAACCTCTAAGATCCAAGATAATACTAAATATATGAAGATACCAAAGAGATGCAAAGCCAAGTTTGGAAACCAATGATCCAGTTTAACTTCCACAATTTATTGGTGAAATCCAGGAAGTTAAATGACTCTCCAGAATTCCTATTAAAAGAATAGACAAGTAAAGGCTAAATATTACAACTGTATCCCAATCATCTTTTTATTACACTAGCACACTTGTGAGATAAGACCTGTTCTTACACATACTGGATCACATATAATGAATGCTTGTTTTAAGTTTTCATTTCAAACTGCTCATAAATCATCCATTCTACAGTTATACCAGGAATCAATATTAAGTTTAACTAATATAAATTGTTTACCTCATTTTAAATATATAATATTGTATCTTCCTATATTCTAAAACTTTTCTCATTTTCCAGAATTACTGAGGGATTTCTGCAATCAGTTCTACAAAATTCTCTCTGTACTATATAGCATAACATTCATCTGATCTAGCCACCAGAATGTTTTAAAACTAGATTATTTTTACTTTTCATAATTATAATTAGCTTTTACTCTAATGATTCTACCTTTTCCAATTAAAAAACAATTTAGATGTTAAAAAAAGCAAAATATTGGGCTGGGGATGTGGCTCAGGCGGTAGCGCACTTGCCTGGCATGCGTGCGGCCCGGGTTCGATCCTCAGCACCACATACAGACAAAGATGTTGTGTCCGCCAAATAGTAAAAAATAAATATTAAAAAAAAAATTCTCTTTCTCTCCCCCTCTCTCTCCCTCTTTAAAAAAAAAAAAAAAGCAAAATATTAACTCTTTTTTTTTTTTTGCATTTGTTATATTACAATAAATGACATGCCAAGCATATTCTTTCCTTATTTATTTTCTTATTCTAAATGTAAAATGTTTTCCTGCCAGGTATAATGGTGTATACCTGTAATTCCAGGTACTTCAAAGGCAGGAGGATTGCAAGTTCAGCCTCAGCAACTAGACAATACCCTGTCTCAAAAAAAAAAAAAAAGGACTGGTGATAGAGCTCAGTAGTAAAGCACTCCTGGATTTAATCCCCAATACTGTAAAAAAGAAAAAAAATAGTATAGTATATTATCCTGTAACCTGTTTTACTCACACCAATGATTGTACATTTTCAAACATGCTATTCAACCTATGAACCACTATTACCTCATCTATAAACAAAAATATTAGCAAGACATGGTGGCCCATACCTGTAGTCCCAACTACCTGGGAGGCTGAGGCAGGAGGATACAAATTTAATGTCAGCCTCAGCAATTAAGCAAGACCCTGTCTCAAAATAAAAAGTAAAAAGAGCTGGGATGTGGCTCAGTGGTTAAAACGCCCCTGGGTTCAATCCCCAGAGAAAGAAAGAAAGGAGGGGGGAGAATGTTGGCTTGAACTGTAGATCAGTGGTAGAGTACTTACCTACCATGTATGAGGCCCAGCACCACAAAAAAATAAGAGAGAAAAAGATATCCTTTGGGTATCAAGGCAAAAAGGGCATTACAACATTTAAGTGAAATAAAATTAGGCTTTGTCAGCAAGACTTTATACTAAAGACAATAAATCCGAAATATTAAAAAACAGAAAATGGGAGCTGGGGTCCTGGCTCAGAGGTAGAGCACTTGCCTAGCGTTGTAAGAAACTGGGTTCGATCCTCAGCACCACATAAAAATAAAATAAAGATATTGTGTCCACCTATAACTAAAAAATGAAAATGTAGGCAAGGTTATTATATTCCATAAATTGGGGGGGGGGGGGGGGGGGCGGGGCGGGATTGAACCCAGAGGCACTTAACCACTGAACCACATTACATTATAAAGTGCTCATATTCGGGCTGGGCTCAGTGGTAGAGTGCTTGCCTAGCATGCACAAGGCACTGGGTTCAATTCCCAGCACAACATAAAACAAATAAACAAAATAAATATATTGTGTAAATAAAGTGATCATATTCAATGCTTCCTTGAATGAAACAAGACAATATATGTAGATCATGTAATTTAACGCACATAAATTTTCCAAATTAATATGTATTACGACCCTGCAAATACTCATGTCTTTTGGCCCAGCAACTTTTTCCAGGAATCTATTCTAAGTAAACAATCTTGACCTGTAGAATCTGGAGAAAAATGTATGCATACAGATGTCCATATTATCAAAGATGATATTATATACTAAAAGCTATCTTAAAAACTAGAAACTAATGGGGCTAGGGATATAGTTCAGTTGGTACAGTGCTTGCCTTGCATGCACAAGGCCCTGGGTTCAATCTCCAGCTCTGCCAAAAAAAACAAAAAAAAAAACAAAACTAGAAACTACTTTCATGTACCACATGATAATTTGGTCAAGGACTCTACCACGTGGCCTGCGCAATGGTTTCATTAATGAGGTTCTTGGCATAAAGTTAGTTAGAAGAGATCGAAATAAAACACACAGACTCAGTTACCTTATTTCTATTGCCAGGTCCGAGACGGCTCCCCTCTCTGACTCCAACCTCTAACCGCCCAGCAGGGCAGCAAGGATTACTCAGGGCTAGCAGGAGAGAGAGAGTGAACACGCCAGGGAGTAGCCTTTTATTGGGGAACAAGAAATTCAGGGGATAATTCCATCCAATGAAGGTTGAGGGGGGACTGCACTCCAAGGTCAGGGTCAGTGATTGGGCCCCCGGGGTCAGTGGTCAGTCACACCCCCACACGGACGGGTTCTCTCATCAGGAAAGGGCCGGGAATATTCCGACACAGCCAGAAGCCTCAGACCCTTAACGGGAGTCGCCCAGTCACGTGTCAGGATGGCTTCCCACAAAGGACAAACTGCATATGGTGGTACCTTAAGATTATAATAAAGTGAGTAAATTTCTATCACCTAGTAACTGAGTAGCCATCATGATGCTGCAAATTATTACGTACATGCTTTTAGTAATACTGGAGTAAACAAACCTACTGCATATACAATTATACATAGTATATAAAAACTGATAATGATAATAAATGACTATTTACTGGTTCATATTTTCTATACTTATTAGAGTGTACTCCTTCTACTTACTAAAAAAAATAATGATAACTGTAAAACAGGCAGGTCCTTAAGGAGGGATTCCAGAAGGCACTTGTTATAATAGGAGATGACAGTTCCAACTATGTTATTGCCCCTGAAGACCTTCCAGTGGGACAAGATGGGAAAATCAAAGACAATGATGTTGATAATTCTGATTCTGTGTAAGCCTAGGCTAATATATTTGTATCTTAGTTTTCAACAATAAAAAAACTTAAAAAGTGAAAAAAAAAAAAATTTAAGTAGCCTATACCATATAGCCTAGGTGTGTAGAACTTCATACCACTAGGTTTGTGCACATACATTCTATTATGCTCACACAATGCCCAAATCACCTAAAGACACATCTGTCAAGCTGGGGATATAGCTCTGTGGGTAGAGTGCTTGCCTTGCATGCACAAGGCCCTAGGTTCAATCCCCAGCACCACCATCAAAAAAAAAAAAAAAGGCTATAAAGACACATCTGTCAAAAACATATCTCTGTCATTAAATGACATAAGACTGTGCTACAAACATATAAACAAAAACAGGGAAACTTAGAGAAGACACATTCAAATTTAACTGTGAATTATTTCCATAATAGAATTATACCTTATTTTCCCAAACTGCCTACCACATGTATAAATTAATTGAAGAAGCAAGAAAGAAAAATCCTAACATTTTGTATTTTAAAAATTATTTCAAATGTTTTATAGCTTGCTTTTGTCTATGATATTACTATTCCCTAGTATCTCAAGCTAATGAGTATTGATCCTATTCCCTAAGGTTTAAGAATAATCTTACATATCAGTGTATAAGGAAAAGGGGGGAAAAGTGAAATCTTGCAGAATCTGACATACAGATGCCTTCACACAAACACATTCCAAAAATACTTAGGTCTTCAATGGAGTACCAAAAATAAGATCAACAGACACAAGAATAATATAGAGAGGTAAGTTACAAAGAATGAGAAACCTTTAGAATGGCACACCAGAGTTACTGCAATCTCTACAACTCAACTGTATGTTGAAAGGGAAGCAAATGTTGAGAGGATCACAACTCTATTCTGGAGAAACTCTCCAAGCTAGACAAACTTTCCAAAGCTAAACAAACTTTCCAAAGCTAAACAAATTCACAATCAAAAAAAGAGAATTATTTTGAGTAACTTAGAATTCTTCCAGGATTAAGAGTCTTTCTAAATGTTCTAATCAAAGATTTTAGCTGACCTTTGGAGAAAAAAATTCCGTCTCTAATACTTTATGTATGTACATATATGACTACATGACCAATGATTCTGCAACATGTACACTCAGAAAAATGAGAAATTATATTCCATCTATGTACAGAATATCAAAATGCATAAATGCATTCTAATTTCATGTATAACTAATTAAACCAAATAATTTTTTTAAATCACTGTAATAATTCATCTGGAGCTCAAATTTAGACACAGTGCAGATCATTTTGATGAGTAATTCCAATATCCTACAACTAGGTAATTCTGCCAAACAAAAGATTTACCTTTCCTGAAACTGATTCTCCATCATAGAAGAGATAGTGTTTTTCCACCTTGCCATCTTCAGTTTTCATTTCTGCCATTTTCCTGGTTTCTCCATCATTAAGGACAACATCAATCTCACAAATGGGACCAAAAAAGCCTCCAAGAAAACTCTGAAATAAAATAAAAATGCTCATAATTATCGTAGGCAGCCAGTCACAACATTTTAAATTCAAATTTTATTACACCATTGACCTACAGTTAGACTCCAAATCTGTGAGTTCACAAGCTTACATCAAATTCTACATCAAAACTTTACAAACTGAATATAATAATGTGTAAACAGTGAACAGTACTGTACTATATACTTTTTTAAGTTAGATTAAAAGATTTCATTTTATAGGTTTTTTTAATCACCAAAAAGGGAAAAATATAAACAATTAAATATGTTATAATTTCAATCATTTCCATAGGTAACCATTATAAATAATCAAATACTAGCATACTAGAACTGTAAGAATTCTTTTTTGGGCAGGGTGGGGGTGGGGTACCAGGGATTGAACTCAGGGACACTTGACCACTGAGCCATATCCCCAGCCCTATATTGTATTTTATTTAGAGATAGAGTCTCACTGAGTTGCTTAGCTTCACCATTGCTGAGGCTGGCTTTGAACCTGAGATCCTCCTTTCTCAGCCTCCTGAGCCGCTGCAATTATAGGCGAGCACCACGAGCCCAGCCATCTTAACATCTTAAGTTTGAAAAATTAACTTTTATTAAACCTCTATGAGTTTTCATGAGAGCAGAATTTGCATAATCCAAATTACTTCTAAAAAGCTGAAATGAATTATTATAATGCACTTACTATAAAATCTACTGCTATATTAGGTCTAAACAGAATGTGTTACATTATATAAGCCCTTTGAGTAAAACTGGCTCTAGGGGCTGGGGTTGTGGCTCAGTGGTAAAGAGCTTGCCTAGCATGTGTGAGGCACTGGGTTCGATCCCTGGCACCACATAAAAATAAAAACAAATAAAATAAAGGAATTGTGTCCACCTACTACTAAAAATGTGTGTGTGTGTGTGTGTGTGTGTGTAAAAGCTGGCTCTGAGGAAACCAATGAAATTTCTCCAATTTATACAAGCCTTATTCTGTAAATCCTCGATATGACAGAACTATAAAGAACAAAAATCAATTGCTTATCAATGCCAAAACATATTAGTTGGTAATAATCAAGTAATATGAACAGAATCCATTAGCAACTATAGTATAGGATATAATTAAAATTATTTTTGTCATCAGGCACATTGGTGAAGGCCTCTACCCTCAGCGACTTGAAAGGCTGAGGCAGGGGGTTCACAAGCTCAAGGGAAGCATCAGAAACATAGCAAGACCCTTAGCAACTTAGAAAGACCTTGTCTCAAAAGAAAAAAGAAAAAGACTGGGGATGTAGTTCAGTGATAAAGCACCCCTAGGTTCAATTCCCCAGTACAAAAACAAACAAGCCAAAAATTATTTTGTCACTAAGGAAAGCCAGCCAGTCTTCTAGTCTATTTTGGGGTTTTTTTTGTTTTTTTTTTAATTTACAAGATAATAGTCTTCTATCATGTACTATATCCCTTTTTAACTTACCCTATACAACAAGCAGGGTAGTCTTTAAAAAACATAAATTTGATCATATCATTTCCTGTTTATAAAATATTTCCATGGGCTGGTGAACTTATAAATTAGAACTACTTTAGGAAATAGTTTGGCATGATCTAGTAAAGCTGAAGATGTATACATCCCATAACCCAACAATTCCATCCCTGGATATATTCCTAAACAGAAACTTACAGGAGACAAATATGTTTACAACAGCCTCCAATGGAAACAATCCAAACATCTATCAACAACAACAACAAAAAAAAGTTGAATTAAAGAGTCCAAGAGGCCACACAGGAGAATACATTCTGTTTCGATCTCATATACATATAAGTCAAAAACATGTAATGTACATTGTTTTTTTTTAAAAAAGAGAGAGAGAATTTTAATATTTATTTTTTTTTAGTTTTCGGCGGACACAACATCTTTGTTTGTATGTGGTGCTGAGGATGGAACCCAGAGCCGCACGCATGCCAGGCGAGCGTGCTACCGCTTGAGCCACATCCCCAGCCCCTGTACATTGTAATATTAGAAGTTAAGAAGTGGGAGGAAGAATAAAATAAGTGGGGTGCTAGTACTGTTCTCTGTTCTGAGCACTTGACACACAGGCATGTTCACTTTATGAAATTCATCAAGCTATATCCTTATACATAATGTTAACTTCAATAGTACACATACACACACTGCATTCTGTAACATCTTACATAGCTCTGTACATCTCTTCAGTGACATCAGCCTCAAATGATCTTAAGATTTTTCTGCAAAAGTTCATCACATTTGCCAAATTCTTTGTCCTAGAGTCAAGCAAAGTACCTTAACCTAACTCATCCTTTTAATTTAAGTTTGAGTCATTTTCATAAGACTCTCCCTAACTCCCTAATCCAAACTGGATTCTCCAAAGTTAGGTGTCGCAAGGCTGATTTTACTGCCTGACACTCCTACTACACTGTAAACTATGTGAGGACACCATATCCTTTATTCCTCACTGAAGAGACAGGACCTAGAGCAGTAGTGGCATTTAATAGAAGGCACTGAAATACCTATTGGAATGTTAAATTTAAACATACAAATACCATTCTAATAATAGGGAAAAAACTGACTATACAAAAGAAGTTGGATGATATCTAGAATAGGTGGTAATGCCAGCCCTTTCCCAACAAATTAGCACTGGTGTTAATAGTGAAGCCTAGAGCATGGAACTCAAGCACAGACAAGGTCAGCTCTGTCCTGAGGTGGCCAGGGAATGGCAAGCAAGATAATGAGCCTCCAAAAGGCTTTGTAGGCTATGATCAAATGAGACAGTGTTTTCCCAAAATGTGGACTTGCTTCTTTGTTTTCATTACTCCTATATTAAAAGGGTGGGCTTATACTTTCAAGAAACTACAAGAATTGCCAAATTAGTGTTTTTGATATATTCCAAATAGCAAATTTTCTTTTTTTAAAAATATTTTTTTTAGTTGTAGATGAACACAATACCTTTATTTATTTATCTTTATGTGGTGCTGAGGATTGAACCCGGTGCCTCACACAGCTAGGCAAGCCCCCTACCACTAAGCTACAACCCCCATCCCCCCAAATTTTCTTTTTGACGTGATGTTTTAGTCTTTTCTGGGAACAACAAACTCAAAATTGTTATCAGAAAACTACAATGAACTAATTTAGAGAGAATGAAAAACTTCAATGATAGGTTACCTGCATTATCTATTCTAGTTAGTGTTCACACTCTAAGTCTTAAAACTCAAAACCTACTCAAAAAAGGCAAATTTTAAAATACTACATGTTCTCCTAAGAGAAGACTACAGATAAGATGTACAACAGTTTGGAGGGGAGGAGGGCTGGGGTTGTGGCTCAGTGGTAGACAGCTTGCCTAGCATGCATGAGGCACTGGGTTCGATTCTCAGCACCACATACAAATAAATAAAAAAAATAAAGGTCCATCAACAACTTAAAAAAATTTTTTTAAAAAAGATGTACAACAGTTCAAAATCAATCCACTAATTATTAACTATGTGCACTATTAACCACTGAGCCAACAAGAGAGGAGACTACTGCAGATAGATCACTTATGAAAGGATAAAAGCAACATCTCCAAGTAGCTATTTTAATTGGGGAAACAAAGTCAGGTGCAGAAAAAGAGAACACCAACTGGCAGTGAGGGTAAGAAGAAAATGAGTTCTTCTCCCTTGTGACACCCACAACATCAATTCATTTGAGTTACAAAATTAAGGCAGAAATATTAATTTTTAACCCGACACTTACCAAGGCTACTTCAAGGAAAAATAAATTGTGAAAACTATAAAAACTGTTTTCTAACAGTTTTTTATAACATTATATATTGTTATAATATTTAACAGAGCTGCACTTGGTATTTGAAAAATAACAAAAATCAAATAATCAAAAATTAAATACAATTTTGTCTGGGCACGGTTTCACATGCTTGTAATCCCAGCAGCTTGGGAGGCTGAGAAGAGAGGATAGTGAGTTCAAAGCCAGCCTCAGCAAAAGTGGGGCATTAAGCAACTCGGTGAAACCCTGTCTCTAAATAAAATACAAAATATGGCTGGGGACGTGGCTCAGTGATCGAGTGTCCCTAAGTACTATCCCCAGTTCCCCCTCCCAAAATAAATAAAAACAATTTTAGCAAAATTAAAATCAGCGCTAATTAAAATTGCCAAAAGACTTAGTTTTAGAAAACTACACAATTAATAATCATACACAAAAAGTCTTGTCCTGATACCAATTCTTAAAAATTAAAAATTCCTAGGCATTAAAAATACATGCAGCTAGGCATGGTATCATACACCACCTGTAATCCCAGTTTGGGAGGGTGAGACAGGAGGATTGCAAGTTCAAGACCAGCCTTAGCAAATTATTGAGGCTCTCAGGATTTAGTGAGATCCTGTCTCAAAATTTAAAAAATAAAATAAAAATATCTGTGGGTTTGGCTCAGTGGTTAAACAATCCTGAGTGCATTTCCAATACCAAAAGAAGAAAAAGAAAAATCTAGGTGTTATGTACTACATTATTTTCTATATGCATTAAATATTTCAGAACTAAAAATGAAAAAAAAAAAAAAACAGACTTCCTTCTCAATACAATAAAAAAAAGTTAAAATGGGGATGGGGTTGTGGCTCAGTGGTAAAGCATTTGCCTCGCATGTGTGAGGCACTGGGTGCAATCCTCAGCACCACATTTAAACAAATAAATAAATAAAGGTCCATCAATAAATAATAAAACTTTTTTTAAAGTTAAAATGGTGAGGAATCAGAAGGTATAACAAGGGGCTGGGGTTGTGGCTCAGTGGTAGAGCGCTCACCTCACACTTGTGAGACCCTGGGTTCGATCCTTAGCACCACATAAAAATAAATAAGTGAAATAAAGGTATTGTGTCCAACTACAACTAAAAAAAAAAAAAAAAGGTATAACAAAAAATAGCACATGCCAAAGAGTTAGGTTGAGTAATAAACTATAGCATTTTAACAAGTTAACTATGCCATAAGATTTTAGCATTGGGTTAACATACAGCTTTTTTTTTTTAATATTGGGACATATCAAAAATGAACCTATAGTTTTACTCAAAAGAACACTCCAAAAAAGTGTTATATTTCACAAGTCAACAACAGAAAAAAAAAACTGAGAAAAGAACTTGTCTTTTTTGTTTTCTAAAAGCCGTTTAAAGTAAAAGATTCTTTACCCAAGGTCTTGGTTTTATTTTATTTCAAGATTATATATTCTCACATTTCAAATAAAAAGTCATGATATTTAATTCTAATTATTCACAATCAAATTATAATACTTCTGATATGTTAAAGAGAAAGTAAAATACAAGAAAGGAAGGGAACAAAAATTGTAAAAACAGCCCAATGCAGTGGTGCACACATGTAATCCCAGCAACTTTAGGGAGGCTGAGGCAAGCAGATTGAAAGTTCAAAGCCAGTCTCAGCAACTTAGGGAGGCCCTAGGTAACTTAGCAAGACCCTGTTTCAAAATAAAAAAATTTTAAAAAGGGCAGGGGATGTGGCTCAATCCCCAGTATAAAAATAGGAAAAAGAAAATATAATAAAAAGGATACTTTAGACTTGCTGAAATAACAGAAGGCAGTTTTGAAAGAATACTATTGAGATCTTCTGTCAAAGACAACTTCAAGTGAGCAATAGGAGTATGAGATTTTCAGGTTGGGGATATGGCTCAGTGGCAGAGCACTTGTCTTTACAAGTATCCCCAAAAAAGAATGTTCAAGAACAATACTACACAATTAATAATACAAGTTAAAACTCTTAGGGCTAAGGCTGGGGTTGTGGTTCAGTGGTAGAGCACTTGCCTAGGCACTGGAGTTCGATTCTCAGCATCATATATAAATAAATAAAATAAAGTCCAATGACAATTAAAAAAATATTAAAAACAAAAAAACTCTTAGGGCTAGTAATGTAGCTCAATGGTAGAGGCTTGCCTAGCACATGTGAGGCCCTGGGCTCAATCCCCAGTATCAGCAAAACAAAAAAAGAAAATAATAAAACTTCTAGGTCACTTTTAAATAACTAGACTGCAATATACTACTAGTAAAACATTATAGCGTTTTCAGTTTTCTAATCTTGGCCTAAACTTCATATTAATCACTAACTTTGGGTTAATTTAAGATTTTTCATACAATGTGTAAACCCTACATTAAGCATTATCATGTAGCAAAATTACATGTGGATACATAAAAGACATTTTTTAGTCCTAATAGAACAAAGTGCACAAGACCGGTGGATGAAATGTAGATCAAGGTGAGGTGGAAGGGAGACTCTCAAAATTTATTTGCTTAGCCTACACACAATGAAACAGCATATTTTCACACATACATTTGTGCCATTTCAACGTTTCAAAGTTTTACAATTTCATTTGTTTGACAAGTAACTTGAAAATAAACCATGTTCTTTAACATATTGCAGAAAGCTTAGTAAAAACACTAATTACACATATAAGCAAAAAATTGGAGAGTTTTATAAAGTTTTCTTTTCAAATTATAATCAGAGAAGACTTCCCCAACTCCCTGACTAGGTGAAATCCTCCAGCAATTCCTTCTCAGTATTTATCACAATTGTAATTTCCACGTTAAACAACCAGTTTACACAAATTAATGTTTATCTCTCCTTAGACTGTATGCTAAAAGAAAGCAAGCAGTTTTGTTTATGGCCCCTGGACAATAAACGAAAGGAAAAAAACTCCAAAAATGAATACATCTTTTTTTTTTTCTTTAAATGAAAGCAAAGCAATTTCTGACTTTAGAAGTTATTTATTCAAAGTAACTTAAAAAAAAAAAACTGGCTTGACCGTTAGCCAAAAGTTTCAGTTTATTTAAAAGGCAAGCTTTGGGAAAGGAGGTAGGATACGGAAAGCACATAGTAGGCACTCAAAGCATGCAGAGCAAATGAAACGAATAAACGAATGCTACCGTAAAATGAGCCCAATGAGATCCAATCTAGAGGAGGCTGCCGACACTCAAAGCTAACCACCACCGTGCCCACGTTTGTGCTTCCCACAAACTGGGGTTAGAAAACTGATTTCCCTCCCTCCTCTGCTTCCTAGGCCATTTCAACATCCCGAAGCGTTAAGTTAAAGAAACGGCTTAGGGAAGGAAACGAAGTCAACGCTGAAATCCGCGGACACGAAACTCAGTGTTCGGAGTTAAAAACGTCACCCCATTCAGACACCCCTTTCTCTCCCATTCTACAAGTGTCAACCTCCACCCTCAAGTAGGGTCATGAAATCACAGTCACCGTACCCAGGATAAAAAATAAGGGAGTTTATCAAGCTCATAACACAGGGAGAGTGACCAAGTCCACCAGAGGCCGGAACTGGGGGACTCTGGGTCACCCAACCTGCATGGAAGCGAGGTTGCCGGGGAGCAGCGCAGGGACCTGCTACCTTGGGCGGGGAAGCGGCCGCGGGCCCCCGCAGGGGCGGGGTCCGGGTGCCCAGCCAGGGCCCCCACAGCCGGTCGAGGAATGCCGGCAGAGGCTCCGACATGGCCAGGAGAGGCACGGCCGCCTGCCGGTCCTCGGGCCTCGTCGAGACCGGGAAGAGGCGGCGCCGCTCGCACTCCCCCGAACCCGGGGTAGCCGGACAGGCCTAACCTGCTCCCAGCTCCCCGCCCGCCCCTTCCTGACGCGACGCCGCGCCCGCCGTTGGCCGTCGCGCCGCGCGCTCCGAGCTGAAGGCGGGAGACTAGCGCACCGGCCGCCGCGCACTCACCATTGTCAGCACTGCCGCCGCCGCGTCCCCGCCACTTCACTCCTCTTCTCTCAGGAGAACTCCCAGCCCCGGCTCCCTCCGCCCGGCGCCCCGTCACGTGACCTCCAGCCGCCCGCCGCACGTGACCACCCCCTTCCTTTACTCCCCTCCCCCTGCACCGGCGCCTCTCCCGGCCTCCCTCCGCCCCGCTGGCCGGCCTGGCCCTCCAGGAGAGGCCGTTTGAAGGCGGGGCCTGGTGCTCCTTCTTCCAGAGGGTGGGGCGGGGCCACCGCGGATGACGTCGTGTGGGCGGGGCCCGGGTGAGGGTAGGTTTCCCGGTCCTCCTTGCTCGCTGTTCCATCACATGACTGGCAGTGAGCGGTCGGACTGTTTGGGCACACCCAGTTCCTTTCCCTTGTGGAAGTTTGAGAGACTCGGGAAGCTTCGTGCCTGGCGTTTTCCTTCACTGGGTGCTGGGTTGCCGAGGCCAAGGAGAGACGTTACCCGAGACCCCGCTTCCCTAGGCCTCCCAAGACACGTGCTGTCTGAATGCGGATTTGACCGGGTCTTCTGGAACAACCCAGCTCACCATCCTACCCCCGGGCTTCTGAGTTTTGACAACTTGTTAATTTCTTGCCTCTGAAGAGACCAATAGGGGAAAAATCTTTGAGTACAACATCCGTTGCTTCCTAAATTCCAGCGAAGCTGCGGAAGACTTCTCTGGCTTTCATTGTGTCCTGGTCATTATAAAGTAAGCCTGGAAGATCTCCAGATGAATGAAATGATGTTCAGAGTCTCAAAACTGTTGAACCACCACAGTGCACTCTATATATAAAATCGAAAAGAAAAAAAAAATCATTCCATATAACAAAACAAAAATCAAGAGTGGGAAGAAGGGAGTGTCATATTTTAAAAATTGAAATCAGAATATGGTCTCCAATAGTTAACAAAAAATAGCTAGAAACTCCATAAATAATTGGAAACCAAGCAATTTGAAAGCTCTAGGTCAAAGAAGAGATCAATAGAAGTTTAAAATTAGTTTGATCTAAAAGATATTAGGTAATACAACTTATAAAACTTTGTGGGATGTAGCTGAAGTAGTTCTTAATGGGGGGGTCTGTAGTTTTAATGCTTGTATGTAAAAAAGTGAAAAATCAGTAATCTTTTTCACTAAAACAGGACGCTTTTAAAAAGCAAATTAGCATGCGGATGGAGAAGGTATTAGCTCAATTTTGCTGTGCTAAAATTGTGCTTAAAAAGTCTTTTTTTTTTTTTTTTTTTTAAGAAAAGCTCTTTCATCCAAGGACTTTGACAAGAGTGCCAAAACACTGAGGAAATGATAGTCTCCTCAAAAGTAATGCTGGGAAAACTGAATATTCATATGGAAAAGAATAAACTTAGACTCTTATTTTGCACTATGTACAAAAAATTAAATAGATTAAATCCACAAACATCATTTCTAAACCAAAAAGCTCCTGTAATAACACAGAAGGAAAGCCTTGGCCTCGTGACTTAATGATTTCTTGGATATGACACCATATGCACAAGCCAATAAAAGCAAAAACAGCCAAGTTGGGCAACATAAAAGTTTAAAACTTTTGTGCATCAAAGACACAATCAAGCCAAGTAAGCCAATCCCAAAAAACCAAAGGCTGAATGTTTTCTCTGATAAATGGATGCTAATCTGGGGGGGGGGGGGGCATGTGATGAGTGGAAGAAATTTGGATGGGGCAGAGGGGAAAGAGGGATAGGGAGGGCTGAGCAGGATAGGAAAGTTGGTGGAACGAGACCGACATCATTACCCTAGGTTCATGTATGATTGCATGAATGGTGTGACCCTGCTTTGTGTACAATCAGAGAAGTGAAAAATTGTACTCTATTTGTGTACAGTGAATCCAAGCATTCTGCTGTCAGGTATAACTGGAACAAACAAATTTTTAAAAAAAATTTAAAAGGACACTAATCAACAGAATGAAAAGGCAACTTATGGAATAGGAAAGAGAAATTGTACATATATTTTTTGATATACTTATATGTAAGGAACTCTTCTGTGTCTCATTTCATTCATTAATCATAATGTTGGGGGGGGGGGTTTTGTTTTTTTTTTTTTGTGTGTGTGTGTGTGTGTGTTACCTAGGAACTATCTCTCAGGGCCTCACACATGCTGGGTGAGTGCTCCAGCCCAATCATGAATTTGAAATGTATTTATTTTGTTCTATGTATCAATACTTTGGTCCTTTTCATTGCTTAGGAGTAGCCTACTGTGTGAACCAACCACAGAACATTTACCTATTTTCTCATTAATGGACATCTGTTTTCACCAGTTTTTTTCCCCCTATTGTGAATAAATGGCTATTAACATTCATGTACAAATGTTTCTTCAATATAACAAAATGGAATTTCTGGGTATGATAGGAATACATTTAATTTTATAAGAAATTTTACAGGGGAGGTAGCTCAGTGATGGGCACTTGCCTAGCATGCACAACCATCTGGGTTCAATCCCCAGTATTAGGGGGAAAAAAAGAACGAAACAATCATTATTTTTCAAATGGTTGTGCCAATTTACCCCCAATCAGCAGTGTATGAAAATTAAGTATCTCTACATCTGCATTTAGTGTTGTCAATATTTTCAATATCATCCATTCTTGGATATAATTATCTTGCAGTGATTTTAATTTGCATTTTCTTAATAATCAATGATATTGAGCTCTTTTTCATGCTTATGAACCTCCCTTTGTGAAGTGTCTATCAAGACTTTGACAATTTTTATTTGGGATATTTGTTTTCTTGTTATTGAGTTATAGTTTATTAAGTATTTTTGATACAAGTCCTATATCATGTATCAATTGCAAATATTTTCTCCTAGTCTGTCGCTCACCTATTTGTTTTCCTAACAATATTTATTGATGACTCAAGAATTTTGACTTTTACATTTAGGAGTGTGATCCATCCAAAATTAAATTTCGCAAATAGTGTAAAATAATATTTGAGGGCTTGAGTCCAAGTGGTTCCAAAACCATTTTTGTTGTTGTTGTTTTGTTGTTTTTTGTTTTTGTTTTAGGAGGGTTTGTTGTTGTTGTTTTAATGAATCATCTATTTTTTTTTCACAATACCTTTATTTTATTTATTTATTTTTAATGTGGTGCTGAGGATCAAACCCAGTGCCTCACATGTGCTAGGCGAGCACTCTACCACTGAGCTACAACCCCAGCCCATGTTTTTTGTTTTTGTTTCCGGTACTGAAGATTAAACCCAGGTGTGTGCTTTGCCACTAAGCTACATCCCTATCCCTTTTTACTTTTTATTTTGAAACAAGTTCTCACTAAATTGCCCAAGCCATCCTCAAACTTGGGATCCCCCTGCCTCCCGCCTCTCAAGTGGCCAGGATTACTACCATGTGCCACTGTGCTCAGCTTAGCACCATTTGTTTAAAATACTTTCCTTTCCCATTTAATTGCTTGATGTCTGTCAAAAAATCTATTGAATATATAATGATGGGTCTATTTCTGGACTTTGATTCTGTTACATTGACCTTTTTGTTTCTTTATGCAATGTCATACTCTCTTGATAAGTAAAGTTTTGTAGTAAGCTTTGTACTTAGGAAATGTAACTACTCCAACTTATTCTTTTTCAAGAATGATTTGGTTATTCTAAGTTATTTGTATGTCATTATACATTTTTGAATTGTCAGTACACTTCTACCTCCACCACCACCCCCCCCCCAAAAAAAAAGAAAAGAAAAAAATATCTGCTGTGAGTTTGGTTGGGATTGATTTGAGTCCATGGCTTCACTGGGGTTCTTAAAATGAAAATCGGTACCTTAACAATGTTGGACCTACCAATCCATGAACATTGTGTATTTCTGTATTTGTTTAGGTCTTTTTAAGTTTCTCTCAGCAACATTTGTAGTTTTCAGTGCCCTATATATCTTTTGCTAAATTTATCTCTAAGCATTTGTATTTTTGATACTCATAAATGGAATTTAAATTTTCTATTTTTCAATTGTTCATTGTTTGAGCTTATGTGTGTATTTGTGTATGTGTGGTTTTTCTCTCCCCTCTTTTCTTGAATCATCTTTATTTTTAAAATTTTATTTATTTAGGAACTGGGGATTGAGACCAAGGGCCCTTAATCACTAAGTCACATCCCCAGCCCTTGTTATTTTTATTTTGAAACACAGTCTCACTAAGTTGCTTAGCACCTCACTAAGGCTACTCTTAAACTTGCTGTCCTCCTGCCTCAGCCTTCTGAGTCACTGAGATTACAGGTATGTGCCACCATGCCTGGTTTTTTCTTCAGTCTTCTGCTAATCACATATTGGGTTTTCTGAATTATTAGTTTCTTATTTTTCCTATTTTCTGTCTTTTTATTCTCCCTTCAACATGATTTTTCTAATTTCATGATCCAAACCCTTAATGACTTTTATTCTGTATTATGAAAGCCATCTTCTAATATGGTCCTCAATGACTTTGCCTTCCAGATTATATGATTATACCATCATATAATTGCTTCTCAAATTCTGTCAGGGTTGCTTTATGTAACCAACAGAATGAGGTGGAAGGGATGATGTGCAACTTCTAAGGCAGCTTCTGGCTTACTTTCTCTTGGATCACTCATTCCTAGAGAAATCAAGTAGCCCAGGTCATATGGCCCAATGGAGAGGTCCAAGTAAGAACTGAGACCTCCTGTAAATAGCAAGTAACATGAGTGCACCATCTTGGAAACTGACCTCCCTCCCTAATGGTGTCTTCAGATAACCAAAACCCCAGCTGACATCCTGAATGACATTCCATGGAAGACCTCCTTAACAGAACCACCCAAGTAAT